GCCACCCAGCCTGTGCAGTGCTGTGACATGATCACAGCTCACCACAGCCTCCACCTTTTGGGCTCAAGCAATCTTCTCACCTTGGCCTCTCAATTAGCTAGGACTAGGCACGTGCCACCACACCCTGCTAATTTTTTTATTTTTTTATTTGTAGAGAAGAGGTCTTGATATGTTGTTGGTGTCAAACTTCTGGGCTCAAGCAATCCTTCTGCCTTGGCCTCCCAAAGTGCTAGGATTACAGGCATGAGCACTGCACCTGGCCAGAAGTCTTATCTTGAAATGTTAGTTGGCCATGACTTATTTTTGGTAACTTTATTTCTTATTTTTAAGCACCCAGATGTCAGGATTTTCATATTACCAGTAGCTTAATATATGCTAAAAGAATATTGGCCCTAACCACATGTACTTTAACATTTGCCTATTTAAATACTTTATGTACCATCTTTTGCAAATATTTGCTTGGCTTCATTGAGCACCCAGGAAGTGTGTTTCCTTGATACCTCTCTGCTGCATCAAAATCAGGTGCAGATCACTCCAGCTCATGCGAGGTGGCAAGGTCACCTCTGGGCTTGCCACCTGAGTCTTTAAAATTCTGCATATTAAGCTTCTTCCCCTGCCTCTGAGATGAGAGTTTAAAATAATGCTTTGGGTTCTGTGATGTAGACAACAACATCTTTTGTTGCTCGTTAGATGAATAGTATAGAAAGTAAAATGATTAGGCCCCAGGAGGCGGAGGATTTTCCCCAGTGAATCCAATTGGAGGACTTAGTTGTGGGAGGATTGTTGTTTTAGTTAAAGATTTGGAAATGTCTTCTTTCTTCTCTTTAGCATCATGATCATCACCATGTTAAAAAAAAAAAAAAAAAGGCACCATTTACAAACCATCTGGCCACCCACAACAGAATTACAGTCAGCTCTCTGTATCCCGAGGTCCTGAATTCTTGGATTCAACTAACCCTTGGATCAAAAATATTCTGGGCAGGGGGAAGGGGAGGGGAAGAATGGTTTTTTCTGTACTGAATATATACAGACTTTTCTTGGCATTATTCCCTAAACAATACCATATAACAACTATTTACATAGCATTTACATTATATTTGGTATCATAAATAACTTAGAGGTGAATTAAAGTACATAGAAGGATGTGTGTTTGTTGTATGCAAATACTGCATTGTTTTATTTCAGGGTCTTGAGCATCCTCGCATTTTGTTATCCTGAGGGGTTCCAGAACCAATTCCCCATGGATAAGGAGGAACGACTGTATTTGATGGCTGTCCAAAGTGAATTGGACTGCCAATATTTTCTTCTTTTCCACGTATTACTCTTAGGTCAAGGGGAAAAAACAAATTCCTTTATTTTATCATTAAGAACAAATTCCTGAGTCTTTTGACCCGCTTCAATAACAAAGCAAGCTGCATAAAAATACCTTTCAAAGAAAATCCATGGGCAAGCTCAAAAATGGATACAGTCTCACCTCGTCAACCTAAACTTTTCTTTCAACATAGCTTAGCCCCTCAATGCTATGCTACTTCGACAAACTTTGCCCAAGTCAGTCCCCTCAAGGATCTTTTTGCTATTATCTGACTTTACAAGGATCTTTTTGCTATTATCTGACTTTACAAATCTAGTGTTGCTGCTCAAATCCATGTCCCCTCAAGTTCTTTCCCAACTAAAGGGTAGCAGTCAATTGGAAATAGAAAAGCAAGCCCCAGAACAATTATGAAGGTATAACAAAGTTTTCAGCAGTATATGCAGAAAAACAGAGAAAAGAAGAGTGCAGAAGTGTGCACAAAAATCCTCCCCTGGTGGTCACACATTGCTGGTGGCACTCTTCACCTAAAGCCTGTTGTGTGCTCCTCCGGTGGAAAGACGAAGTACCAGTGTTTTAGCACAACACGAATGGTCTTTTCTGCTTCCCTCACTGGTTGACTTAGCCTGGCAAGCCCCAAACTGTCAGTGCAGTCCAACTTGCTTTTTTCCAGGTCTTACAGTGTTAGGCCAGCACTACCTTACCCCTGATCATGTGGAAGAGGTCACTCTTGTTTTGGCCAGTGCTACCTTGCCCCTGATCAAACGGAAGAGATTACGCTTGCCTTGGCTAGCACTACTTGCCCCCAATCACATGGAAGAGGTCACTCTTGTTTTGGACAGCGCTACCTTGCCCCTGATCAAATGGAAGAGGTCACTCTTGCCTTGGCCAGCACTAATTTGCCTCCAATCACATAGAAGAGGTCACTTTTGTTTTGGACAGCGCTACGTTGTCCCTGATCACGTGGAAGAGGTCACTCTTGTCTTGGTCAGTGCTACTTTGCCCTCAATTAAGTGGGGAAGGGCAATCTTGTCCTTCTATTTTGTTTTTTTTTCAATTAACTGAGATTCTAAGTCTTCTGTCATTTCAAATAAAGAAAACCCTCTTCAATTTGGAGTTATAGTCAACATATTTTCATAATTGGAAGAAATTCTTAAATAATGTATACAAAATAAAGACTTCTGAATGAAATACAAAGAAAGCCTTTAATATGGCCCCAGGGGAGCCTTAAGATATCTAGGCTGATTAATTGGCTAGTTCGGGAATAATTGCCTCTCGAGTGACAAGACTGGTTTGTGGTTGCTAGGTCTGCAAGTGTCAACTTTGTCTTCAGCTGTAGTCAAAGGCCGGCAGGGAAGGCTGAGTTGTTCAGTCTCAGTAGCAAAAAAGTATATGGTATCCGTTCTGGATAAGCAGCTTGTACAGCCTACTAGGACAGAAGAGTAACAGGTAACAGGTAACAGGCATTGTCTAATATAATAAGCATTTTTTTATAAGTTCTCCTGTAGGGACGTTTTAATACCAGAACCCAAGGGTGGGGGAAATTGGCCCAAGAACAGACAAAAGAGAAGACAGCTATATTTCTCAATATACAAACAATGCCATTTGAAGTACTGGATTGAATACAGAAGTATTATGAAAGTTGCTAATTTGGCTAGTGTCTGTATTTCTTAATATAGTAACATTATTAATGTCTGCCCCCTTAAGCCTGTATAAATGAGAATCCCTATGTTATTGGCCAGTTGGAAACAGCAATGTGAACAGACTCTGTTGGCCTAATTATGTTCACTGAATACTTTGTCATATTGCAAATATTTTATTTAATTAATTAATTTTTTTGAGTCGAGTCTCACTCTGTTGCCTAGGCTGGAGTGCAGTGGCATGCTCATGGCCACCACAGCCTCAACCTGCTGGGCTCAGGCAATCCTTCCACCTCAGTCTTCCAAGTTGCTGGAACTATAAGCGCGTGCTACCACGCCCAGCTAATTTTTTGATTTATTTTAAAAATGAGATCTCACCAAGTTACCCAGGCTGGTCTCAGACCCCTGAGCTCAAGCAATCCTCTCACCGCCTTGGCCTCCCAAAGTGCTGGGATTACAAGCTTGAGCCACCGTGCCCAGCCCACACATATTTTAATATTCATTCTAAGCCACAAGTCTTTGCCAAATGAGATACTGAAATCACTGTATGTTGCTTAGAAATAGAATGTACAATAACCCAATATTTGGAAGAAGAAAAACTTAGGATTGACTTTTTCTTTATCTTAAACTTGAGGTGATTCTCTTTATTCCGTAGAAGACACTAAGAATTAGATTTATCTGCTTTATCCATATCATGGTTACATTTTTTTTCTACTTGACCTAAAAATCCAGGGGTTTCTTTTTGGGGATAGGGGATGAGGAGAATTTAGTTATGAAAAGAGAAAAGTAATGTACAAACTTGAAAAATGAAAAGTGTAAACAATGGCAGCTAGAAGAATGAAAATGGCAATGTGCTCAGAGAGTAACTTGTCACTGAGTCGGAGTTTGGGATGCCTTAAATCCCGGGAGAGGGTGGCATTGGTTTTCCTACCCATGACGAAAGCAGGGAATCAGCATGTTGTCCTATCAATTTTGTTAATAGCAGGGTAGAGCCTTTTCAGAAGGAAGAAGAGAATGTGCATTAAAGGATATTCTTTCTTCATGGGGTGAGGTAAGGGCTGTTTCCACAGGAGTGAATACTTTGGGGGTGAGGCCTGGAGTTGTTAAGTTCAGGTATTAGTGAGGGGAAATAGTCAGTAGTTCCACTGGTTGTTGTAAGAGGATATTTAATAAAATGCATTACTCTATGTTTCATTAAAACATGGCTGGTGGAAAAGTGAAACGCTGAAGATGAGAATCTTTGGAGTAAATCAGCTTGCTATTCCTCAGCCAAAACACTACTATATTAGCAATAGGATAAACCAATATTCATTTCCTAGGTTGTCAAAACACTTCTTTGAGCATTCGATCACGTTCTCTGGGTGGTTAAAGTCTGAATGCCCCCCTAGTTCCCCTATTTGAACATCACCTGTGGCCAGGATGGAAATTCTTTCCTGGGAAACTTGAAGTCCTTATCCAAACCAGGGGATGTATCTCAGGACTTGTTCATTTGACCCTCATGCTCCGTGACGAACACCACAGCAGATGACTGGAAGTGAGAGGAGAGGGGCTCATTTCAAAGTCATGGCCCAGGAGCTCTGGCAATTTCAGATCCCCTAGGGCTGGTGCTCCTCCTCCAGCAAGCTGTTGTTTTGAAAAAGAGTGGGGTGGGGCCAAAAAAGCATGACAGTGGAGCTGGGATGATTGAGGCTTTCTTTTATTTTGGATGTTGTCACTTGAGTCAGGTTTCATGAAACAACACATTGGGAAACAGGAGCTGTGTTACATCCTGTGGATTGCACTGGAAGGGCTGGGAGACCAGGCTGTGGATCATAGCCACGAGCAACAAGAGGGGGCAAGTCCAGCCGCCTGCTAGATGACTAGCAGGAAGCGGCACGCCTGCCAGAGCTCATCACTTCAACTCTGGCTCCCACTGTGCTAATTCCCTGAATGGTAATAACAAGGGGGATGGGGGATGGCATGGGAAATGAAAGGAAAGAGATCTGAGAAACTAAATCTGCAGGGGGGATAAAGGAACTAGCAGAGTTTTAGCGAAACAGCTAGCAGAGGCAGAAGGAGGGGGAAAGGCTGGGCTTAAGCAACTTGCTACTGGGATTTAAACAAAGGAGGTCTGAGAAAGGCGGAATCAGTTTCTAATATCGGCATGAGGAGCAAGCCAGCAGCTGGACTCCCGGGATGAAACTGAACAAATTCGTCATGTCGCCTTCAGGGTAGGAATGACTGGAGCATGTGCCGAAATAAGAACTTAGAGAAACAAGTAAGTTTGGAAAAAGACAGATTTTGACGGTCTCTGACATTTCGCCCTTCTTTGAGGCATGCCTTCATCGATGCGTTACCTCTTTGTAGTTTCTGTCTCTAGTGTAATCATTTTTATCGTGTTCTATGTGTTCAATTTTGGGGGAGATCAGAGCTACCAGAGACTAAATATTTCAGACCCTTTGATGCTGTCTCAAGTTTGCACAGCCTTCATCAACGGGAAAACACCTTTCCTGTGGAAAAGCAAACTAATAATCCATGAGAAGTCTTCTTGCAAGGAATACTTGACCCAAAGCCACTACATCACAGCCCCTTTATCTAAAGAAGAAGTTGAATTTCCTCTGGCATATATAATGGTCATCCATCACCATTTCGACACCTTTGCAAGGCTCTTCAGGGCTATTTACATGCCCCAAAACATCTACTGTGTTCATGTGGATGAAAAGGCGACAGTTGAATTTAAAGACGCAGTGGAGCAATTGCTGAACTGCTTCCCAAATGCTTTCCTGGCTTCCAAGATGGAGCCAGTTGTCTATGGTGGGATCTCCAGGCTCCAGGCTGACCTGAACTGCATCAAAGATCTTTCCGCCTCAGAGGTCTCGTGGAAGTATGTCATTAACACCTGTGGACAAGACTTCCCCCTGAAAACCAACAAGGAAATTGTTCGGTATCTGAAAGAATTTAAAGGGAAGAATATTACCCCAGGGGTGCTGCCCCCAGCTCATGCAATTGGACGGACTAAATATGTCCACCGAGAGCACTTGAGCAAAGAACTTTCTTATGTGATAAGAACGACAGCACTGAAGCCGCCACCCCCCCACAATCTCACCATTTACTTTGGCTCTGCCTATGTTGCTCTATCAAGAGAGTTTGCCAACTTTATCCTTCATGACCCACGGGCTGTTGATTTGCTCCAGTGGTCCAAGGACACCTTCAGTCCTGATGAACATTTCTGGGTGACACTCAATAGGATTCCAGGTATGTGAGATTTCCTATTTCACGCAAGGTAGATGTGCCATATTTGCAAAGGCTTTGGCAGAACCAGCCACTTTGTAGCAGGAAGTAGAAGACAAAAATGGAAACATACATGGTTCTTGTCCTAGTCCTTCCTAGATGCAAAAATGATGTTCTTTCTGTGATAATTCAAGTATTCTAGCACTACCAAATCATACCTTTCAATGGTATCACTTTGCGGTTTATAAAGTTCTTTTGTGTACGCCATCTTACTAAAATCTTTGTCACAGTAAATAGTAATTGTCCCATACTGATGTTCTTTATTTCTCCCAAATTTGTCAAGCTTGCTCTTACCCCAGGATCTTTGCCTGGCCATTCTCCTGCCTACTTTAGGCCTTCACAGGCTCCTACCCCTCTGCTACATCTCAGCTCTCAGATGTTGGCAGCTCTGACTAACCTGCCCTGGCCAGTGGCCAGCACGCCACCTTGTTTTCCCTTCAAAGAGTTTGTTACCATCTGGAATTATCATATTTACGTATCTGCATGGGTTTGTTCTTGATCACCTGTATTTTAGCTCAGTAGAGCCAGGGTCATTTTTATCTTGTTGATTGCTGTATCCTTAATGCTCAGAACACATAGTAAATGCTCAATAAATATATATTAGCTGAATGAATGAGTGAGTGAGCAAATAAGTGAATGAATGAATGATAAAGTATGAGGCTTTACTACAGCCCCGTAGCTGTCTCCCTAACAGCAGATAAGCTGGGAAATATTTAAGCTCACTCATGTGTCATATGTGTATTTTTTAAAAAATACATGTTACTTCAGAAAATCCTGAGATTCTAGGAGTAACTTTTTTCTTTCTCATCATAATTTTTCTACCTTTACTAATGTCTCTGATTGATTGTTTTTTAAAATATGTAAAACATGACAGGATTTCTTCTGAAGGAAACAGCGTGCTTTGGACTCAATGAAAAATACAAAATGGATCTCTGATGAACTAGACAGCATTATTATAGCAAGAGAAAAGCAATCATTGTTCTGTTTGTTGAGGGGCTGCCAACTTGGAAACGCTGGTAGGTGCTCTCAGGCTGCAGGGCAGGGCCTGCTGGGCGATAAACACGCCGGCATTCTCTGGAAAATGCCATGTCTGGTGTCTGAGTCTCAGGGTGGCTCGCGTGGCGTGGTGAACAGGGCTCCTGTACTGCACGCTCGCCTTTTCCTAACCTGCCTCTTCCTGTGGGCACCATCTTTCCATCTCTGATTTGTTGTTTCTATCACTGATATATCCTTTAGAACCATTAGGCAATTAGAGGCCGATTTTCATATTTAAATATTTATGTCCTTTCTTTTTTCACAATTCCCTTAAGACTCATAAAAGCTGGGCACTAATTATGTGGTTCCTTAGGTATTGAACTGAAATAAAGGCATTTCATAACTTAGCAGAAGTCTGGATTGTCACTTCAAAAAAAGAAAGAGAGAGAAACATGGGTTTTGATTTGCGCTAAATGTCTGTGACTACTTTGCCAAAAAAGATGATCAGTTTTATCAGTGTTAAATCAATAAAAGAAAATCAAGGGGAAAATAATCCCCTTGATTTTCTTTAGACTCCTTTTTTTTTCTGCCCTAGTCAAACAGACAAACAGTCTCGGTCTCTTGGGAGATCAAGCATGATATCTAAATTGGGCACAGTGGTGTCTCAGGAGGCTGAGGCAAGAGGATGGTTTGAACCAGTTCAAGACTACAATGTACTATGATTGCGCTACTGCACTCCAGCCTAGGAGATAGAATGAGACCCCATCTCTAAAATAGAAATTAAATTAAATTTAAAGAATGATGTCACCCGGGCTTGGTGACTCAGCCCGTAATCCCCTGCCTTTGGGAGACTGAGGTGAGTGGATTGCCTGAGCCCACGGGTTCGAGACCCACCTGGGCAACTTGGCAAGACCTCATCTCTACAATAAATCAAAATGAGCCGAACGTGGTAGCGCGCGCCTTTAGTTCCAGCTACTTGGATGGCTGAAGTGGAAGGATCGCCAGAGCCCGCAGGTCGAGGCTGCGGTGGCCGGGAGTGGCCACTGCACTCCAGTCTGGGTGACAGAGTGAGACACCAACCAAAAAAAAAAAAGAAAGAATGACGTCTATATAGGCACAGGAGAGAGCACTTTTTACACCGTAGGTTTGTGGTGTGGCATGCCAGCTTCTGCCTACTTAGAACAACAGTATAACCCCGTGTAAATCACAGAACCTCACAGAACCTCAATTCTCTTCAGCTACAAAATGGGGGAAGGGGCCCAGTTAGAAAGACCCCTTTCATTCCTGTGGGAGCCTTTCTTTGCAGAAGGCACAATGTCCAGAACCGCATAAAGACCTCGCACTCCACTCCAGGAAATCTGTAGTGAGAAAGGCAGAAATGCTGGTGACCCTGGACTTTGTGTTGCCCGCCAGTTTTGGCAAGTGCACCCCGTTTTCCTTGTAGGAACTGAGCGAGAGCTCCTTCAGAGAGCATATCCCTGGAGAGGAAGGTGGGCGCAGCCCATGCCAGCGATCTGTGCAGCCTGATTTTACAAGGGATGCATTTCAAGATAACGTGCCACTTCCTGGGGCTTTGCCTCCTTCCTTTTTTAGACTATGGGCAACATCCTGGTTCACAAAGAAAGGATATCCTGCCCCTAGTTGGGGCCTTCCCAACTCACAAGTGATTTACAGCAAACAAACCGTCAAGGGCTCCAGCCCCAGTGGTGGCTCTCTCCACTTTCAAAGGCCGTGTAAAATCTAGTCCCAGGCTGGAGTGATTCCTGCAGTCTTATGCTTGAGCATTCTTTGTGATTTACGATTTGGGGTGTGAATCTGGTTCTTCATGACCAGAGAACCTTTAATCATATCAGCTCTTCAGGGCTATTTACATGCCCCAGAATATCTACTGTGTTCATGTGTTTTACGGGGAAAAGTTCTTCTGTACATATAGCATAAACTTTTTTTGGCAAATGTGCAAGCACAGACAGATGGTGCTGTTTATTTCTTCCCTCAAAGTGAGTGCCTCCCTTTCTCCTAAACACCCTCTGTTAAAGTGTGTGTGTTAGAACGACCCTGTGCAAAACGTATCCGGTTTCCCCAAATATACTCCCCCAGGAGCAATGTGACCAAGAAAGCGATTAGTACCCTAGAATTTGATGGTCTCCAAAAAAAAAAGTGAAAGTCATTTACAATTAGTGAGATTGAATAAAAAGGATATTTATTTATTTATTTTTGAGTTGGAGTCTCACTCTGTCGCCCAGACTGGAGTGCAGTGGCCGCTCCCGGCCACCGCAGCCTCGACCTGCTGGACTCCGGCGATCCTTCCGCCTCAGCCTTCCAAGTAGCTGGAACTACAGGCGCGCACTACCACACCCGGCTAATTTGTTGACTTTATTGTAGAGATGAGGTCTCGCCAAGTTGCCCAGGCGGGTCTTGAACCCGCGGGCTCAGGTAATCCACTCACCTCAGCCTCCCAAAAGCGTGGGATTACTAAAAAGGATATTTATAGAGGCAGCACTAAGTCACCTAACCTCACACTGCTCCTCCCCCACCCACACCTCCACCCCACACTATGGTGCCTTTCTACTGAAAGACTTCTTTCTTGGTTTTCAGCTGTTAGGCTATCTCCACACTACATTAGTAATGGTGTGAGAACACACCAGAAAGAGGTCCTTGGGGCCCAGCGTCATACCCTTCTTCAGGGAAGCCAGATAGGGAGGCTGTCATTCTGTTCTGTGTGGCTCCTGTGCAGATGAGGTGTCTAGCCCCCTCCCTTCTGGCCATTCTCAAAGGAACCCTCCAGGATCAGAGTTTCCTGTTTTCACCCTACAGAGGAGCATTGGGCTCTGATAGCAGTAGCTCTTCCTGACTTCTAGATGCACCCTTATGTTTTCAGACTTCTCAGATTATTGTAATTTTTGCTCTGTCATCTTGAGAAAAGCCCATTTCGCCAGATCTTCTGGTTATTCTTCCAACATTCTCATCTGCCTATCTGCCCCAAGGCAGAGCACTGAGGCTGTTATGACCAAGTAAGCGAGAAGTTATGCCAGCAAGTTGAGTCTAATTAATTATGAATTTATTAAACACATGGGTCAAGAGTAGGCAAATGCCAGAAAAACTCTTGGCAAATTGGTGCAGTCTGTGACAAGCTTTTATAGGTAAAATTTGCAGCCTTGGCTACATAGCAACTTAGTGACCATAGCAACTATTAACTAACTAACTACCTAAAATGGGAATTTCGATTGTTAGGGAGCTTTGATTAATTTCATGTCAGGTAGGTATAGCCAGTGCTCAGAAAGTCCCTGGAGTTCTGCCCTTAAGATATAGTTTAAAGTAGTTACACAGAGACAGAGAAGAAGAATCATTATACAATGAAGTGACCTTGGTTAGGTCACTAACAGAATATAAGAACAAACTATGAAAATGTCAAAGCGTAACATTTGATTTCAGTTAACAAAGCATACAATTACATGGAAGCTATGGCAAAAGAGTTCTGGAACGATCAGCAGGCAACAGTCAGCATAACCTGCCCAAAGGAGACAAAGCAGGCGGTCTGTGGTCATGGGAACATTACTGTAATTAGACATAGGCATTGATTCTGAGGTCAGGCAGGTAACGAAGATGAAAGTTTTAAACAAAATGGAGTAAGCTGGTTAATATTATTATTTTACTAGCAATTTGATTTTACTAACTGATTTAGCTTATTTCAAGGCCATCTAGATTTCTGCTTTATGTCTGGAAATTGGTCAGCATCTGCCCAAGTGGCCACTGGTATCGTTTCTTCACAATCCATTTCCATGGCTTAATCGTCTTCTTGCTCCACTTCAGGGCAGGCCTGTCTCTATGAAAAAGGCAAAGCGACTGTGTGCTTTGGCTTTCAGCTACTTTTTCCCCCTCACTGCATTAAGTTTGTTCTTTTGAGTCTTTGCTCATTTCATGATTCTGACCTTTCTCATGCCATGATGCTTTTGTTCCATAAAAATGCTTTCATTTGTCTTGCTTCCTTTTTCCATTT